CTCCGGTCTGGAGTCATTCTTGAATTTCTTCTGTTGTTGCTGGTCTTTCCGTTCCTCCTGCTGCCTTTTTATTTTCCGGAACGGCGGCCTTGTTTGTACCTGACTCTCTGGCCCTGGGAGCGTTCTCCTTGATGTATAATTTCTACTGCGATACGTTGTAGGTGGTGTTTTCCTCTTTACCAAGGTTTCTTTACGCGGTGGCTTTGCATTCTTGCTTTTCTTAAATGCTGGAGTCTGAAAGTTTTCACTTTTTCGTTTTGGTACCGTCGTCTGGGTTGTAGAAGGGCTAGGTCTCTCTTCAGTTCTCTGCTTCTTGGGTGGTGGAACAGTTGTCGTTATTTCTGGACCTTCTACTTCTTTTAGACTTGAGTCCTGCAAGAAACTTTTAAGGATTTCAAAATCATTTGGATTATAGTATTTTTTCACCTGGTCGGGACTTGCTTTACAGATCTCCCCTCTCTCGTTCTTAAGGTACAATACGACTCCTTTGATTTCCTGAATTACATAGAGGCCTTCAAATTTTGGAGCTAACTTTGCAGTAAAATTGCCTGGGGCACTTGATAAAGAAAATTTCCGCTTCAATACTTTATCCCCAACTTTAAAATCTGCTTCACGGCGTTTTCTATCGTAATACACGTTTTGTCTTATTTCTTGCCGTATCCGAGCTTTTAAGCGCGCCTGATCAATAAGTTTTGCACATCCTTTCTGTTTGAAAACTCTTGCTCTCTTTGTTGCACAAAGAATAATTTATCTAAAGGCGTAATTAACTTTCGGCCTAAAAATAATTCTGCTGGGGTTTTTCCCGTAGTATCGTGATTTTGCCGTTCTTAAAGCATAAGCTAACTCATTTATGTAGCCATCCCAGCGCTTGTGATGTGTGCTAACCGTAACTTGCGAATTATTTTACGATGTTTTTATTCAACCCTTTCTGCTATGTTTGCCTGTGGTCTATACGGAACCATTTTGATATGGCGTATGCCAAGTCCAGTGCAATATGTTTTCAAATATTTGACTAATGAATTGTTTTCCGTTATCGCTAATGACTTTTATCGGTGCATCGTATTTTAAAATGTATCTGTGTAAGAATGCATCTGCGACTGTTTGGCTGACGCGCGTTTAAGTGGAACAATTTCTGTCCATTTTGAAAAATGATCTACTATTACTAAAAGAAAACGATTTTTATTTAACTCACTCTGGGGGAAGGGACCAAGAAGATCTATGTCTAAAATTTCATTCGGAAATGTAGCGCGAATGCTATTTAAGTACCCGGCCGGGCTGTAATTAATATAATTTATTAACTGACATTGATTGCAGGACCTGACATACGCAGTTACTATTTTGTATAATTGCGGGAAATATACCGCCTTGCGTACCCTTTTTAAAGTCTTTCTGACCCCTAAATGACCCGCTGTTTTCGCGTCGTGTAATTCCTTCAAAATGCTTAATCGAAGCGAGGATGGGATGACTGGTTTGTACTCGAGATTTTCGTTTGTTGTTTTCATATAAAATAATTAATTATCTATTATTTCATAGTTTTCTGCTCTATTTCTTATCGCATCGATATCTGTGTGTTCAAAGCTTTCGGGGTCTTTCAAATATGCATAGATATTTCCAAATTCAGGATCAGCTTTTAGTTCAGTGATAATCGTATCTCTAGAATCTAAAATTTTTGAAGTCAACACAGCGCATTTAAGTTCATTTCCTTCATCGTCCAATTTTATACGAGAAAGTGCGTCAGCTACATTGTTCTCCTTACCCGGTTTATATTTTATTATTAGATTATATTCTTGGAGTTTTAAAGCCCATCTTATTAACCTGGGCGTTAGGTTTTTCCCCGAGTAAAGTCTACCAACAGCCGCATGATCCGAAAAGACTGTTACTGGCGCTTTGCCGAAATAAACTCGAAATTTGTGTACAGCCATTAATACGGCTAATGTTTCTCTCTCTGTAGCTGTATAATTCCTTTGTGTTTGACTCAACGTTGTACTAAAAAATGCCAGAGGATGGCTATTTTGCATAAGAACCCCACCCACCGCATTGTCCGACGGATCTGCTGCAATTTCCAGGTTTTCGTCCCCCTCCGGAAATTTCAAAACAGGGGCATTGATGAGCGCTTCTTTTAATCTTTCGAATGCGGTATTTGCTTCCGCTGTCCACGTAAATTTACTTCTCTTTCTTTTAATTACTAAGAGTGGTTCAACAATATTAGCGAAATCTTTTATGAAAGACCGATAGTAAAGAACATAACCCAAGGAAAGAAGAAAGTTTCTTGGCAGTGTTGGGCGGTGGAAAATTCTTGATTGCTTTTATTTTTGAATCTTGCGTTCTATACCCTTTTGCGAAATTTTATAACCGAGATATTTAAGTTCTTTAGTTGCGAACTTGCATTTTGAGGCGTTAATTGTAAGACCGGCCTCTTTTAATAATTTAAAAACTTCTTCTAGATCTTTAATGTGTTGTTCCAACGTACTACTCGTTATAATTATATCATCTAGATAGATTAAAGTTGATTTTCCTAGGACAGGCTTTAGAACAATGTCCATAGCTCTCTGGAATGTGATGGGGCCCCACACAACCCAAAGGGCATGCGTAAAAATGCATAAGTGCCCGATTTTGTTATAAACGCGGTTTTAATGTATGTCTTCGGGTCTCATAGCTATTTGATAGTAGCCAGACGTTAAGTCCAAAGTAGACATGTATCTTGTCGATTTGATCTTTCTAATAATTTCCTCTATAACCGGCAAAGGGTAAACTGTGAATTTAGTAATACTATTTAGTTTCTGTAATCGATAGCAAACCTCCAAGCCCTTTTATCCGAAGGAGGAAACTCGTTCTTTTTCCTACATAGTACACTGGACTGGACTCGCGCACTCACTATTTATGGGCGTTATTATTTTATTCTTAACATCTCCTGAATATGTTCTTCGATGATTAAGTCTTTTGTTTGTCATAACGATAATGGGTTTAGTCCTACAGGTTTTTCGGCAGTTAATTGTATCTGATGCGTAACTATTTGACAACTACCAGGCTTTTCTGAAAACAAGTTAGAAAAATTACTCACCACTTGCTGGATGGCTTGACTTTCATGGTCATTCAGATGGCTAAGGTCCACTTGCGGTTTTCCACAGGTTCCACACCCTCTGGTCCATCTCCAGCACACGGAACTGTCTTGAAAATTCAATTTGGCCCTCGAGGCCCTTAAAAACTCCATACCTAAAATAAGAGGATTTTGCAGATTCTTCACTACAAAATTAATACTTTGAGGCTTTCCTTTTTACCTGTATGTTTAATGATAATTTCCCGATGCAGTGACAGGTTTTTCCTTGCGCCGCTCTAATTTCGGTATTTTTGGTTTTAAATAATCGTACCCTATAAAAATTCTTTTTGAAGAATGTTTCGCTCATAAAATTTCCTTCTGCTCCTGTATCGATGAGGGCTTCTACTGGTACATCGCCAACCAGGACTTGTATAATTGGTAGATGTGAGTTCTTTACGATGACCGTATTTAAATGTCTTTTTGAGGGTTTTTTTAAAACTTCCGGGGTCTGGACCCTCGCTTTCACAGGCCCCTCTACTCGTGTAAAGCTTTCCTTTCAAGTTCTGCCTACTGGGTATGCGGATGTTTATTTTCGAATTTTCGTTTTGGGCCTTGACCTTCGAGGTTCGATGAGTTAGCTTGATAGCTTTTTCCCCCATAAGAGCGGTTTGCATTTCTGGTTTGCTCATTTGAAGATTTCCTTCGGGTACTTTGAGAATACGTTGCCCCTCCAGCTTTTTCCGCTATTCTGCGATTTTGAAACTTCACCGCCAATTCGAAGAGCTCCTGCAATGTGCTTGGGTTTCTAATTTCGAAGTAGTCTTGAACAGCAGGTAACAATCTTGGTAATATTATTTCAATAATCTCCGCGTCGGGTTTCTTCCCATACAGCATATCCGTCAGCTTAATTTTTCGCAAAATAAAGTCCGTCAACTCTTCTATATCCCGTTGATAGAACTATATAGTTCGGCTTCCAGCCTTGCTCGATCTTTCACTATGGGGAAGGCCTTTACTAACGATTTTTTGAAATTTTCAAATGTATATGTCTGGCTTCCAAATTCCCCTAATAAAAATTTGCCTATATTCTTCCACCATAGCACGGCCTGTCCTCTTAGTGCAGAGATGTGGCGATGGCAACTTTTTGTCTTTCAGGCACAGGGTAGAGCTGAATGAAAGTGAGTTTCTAGGCCTTCTAGAATATTGCCACCGAAAGTTTTTCCGTTGAAATTGACGTTTGGCTTGATTGACGCTCTCAAAGTCTGGACAGGTATCCAAATCCTTCCAATTGGCTTGCCAATTTCTTGGTGTTGTCCCGCGGCTTCCATCCGATTTTCGGGCCATTTCAGTTCGATAAGAGTTCGGGCGCCAATGTAGAGTTGCGCGCCTCCACCTGCACGCAACCAAGAGGTGACTGTTGAAACTGGAAAATAGACAGAGTCTTGCTAAGGGTTTAAGTCCCTTTTTATTCAACTTAAAAAATTACAATTGCGTGCTCTTGACGCTCACAAACTACGCCGACACGGCGGTAAAATAAAAATAAGAACCTGAAAAGAAATAATAACAAGACTCTAACTACGAGGCTCTCTAAAAGTAACTAACCTCACCGCGTTTCACAATACCGCTGCTAATTCAGCAAACTTTGAATATCACGTTGAACGATTAACAATTCTCCGAGGCAAGCACACAGGCCGAAACGCGGGGTTCTTCAATTTCTGGCTAACTACCTCCGCGCTCGTGAAGTACGAACAGCACATCTCGAAATCGTTTCCTTTCTATTTAACTCAGAATACTTCCGCTGATAATTTGAATCCTTGCGCGTTCTACTAAAATTTACATACTCTGGCATTGGCAGTTCCAGGGGAAAGTAAGGCTTGACAGGAAAGATAGTTTAAATTTAAAATAAATGTTAGTTAAAATAAATATAAACCTTACAAGGGAGTAAACGCTGTTTCGTCCTTTACAGATCCTAAGGCAGTATGGTTTTTGTCTGACAGTCGTAGCGCCATCCAATATCTTTCAAACTGGCGAAGCGTTGGTGATAAGGCCGGAATTGCAATTCTTAGCAAACTTCAGCAGGTCTCGTCACTCTGTGAAGTGCACCTTCAGTGGATTTCTTCCCATGTTGACATATGGGGGAATGAAATGGCAGACATTCTGGCGAAGAAGGCTTTTGAAGAACCCTTACCAGTTACCAATTCATTGACATAGCTGGAACTGTATTCCATTAGAAGACGTGCAGACAGGCAAATTTGGCTCGTTCCTCCGAATCATCCCTGGTATCAAACTGATTGTCCTGGAAGATCTCTTGCTACTGATTGCGATAGATGTGTTCAGACAACACTTTCCCGATTCTTCAGTGGACACCTGAAAGGACTTACTTTTGAGAGAGGTCTCAAAGATGCACCCAATTTGTTCTAAATGTCAAAATGCACCGGCATCACTGGCACATATCCTTGAGTGCCTGGAGTTGTCTCTTGAAGACCTATACAAGTCTCCTATCTTGTTTTCGATTTTCTGAAAGTGAATGGACTCGTAGACCTTGTCTAGTATATTCCTAGACATGGAGATAAGTAACAACAACAACAATTATTATTTAAGTTATTAGCTTGTTTTTGCGTAGAAACTGTAATTTTATTTGTAATTTTATTATTATTATTATTATTATTATTATTTTAACTGTACTTGGTGTTTTATGTTTTTCTATATCTTTCAAATTTTAATTAAAATAATTTGAAGTTTTATGTGTTTTTGCCTTGATGCGAAGTGAGAACTAAATTAATTAGTAGCCCATGCGCATTAGACTAGCGGCGCTGAATCGTCTACGAAAAGCTGTTTCTTTTTCATTTGTTTAATTTCTTTTATATATCGGTTTAGATTTATTAGTATAGAACTTGTGGTAATTCTTTAGATGATATAATTTTTGTGCACTAGCACCTATCGCCGAAGTGTCGATATGGTAAATAAATATAGTGAACATTAAAGAGTGCATTTATTCCATTGGTGGTTTATGTGCTATCCACGAAGTAGATTTTATTCAAAATCCGTTAACTATTAATTCAATATATTTAAATGAAATGCAAGAAAATTACGTATAATTTAATATTCTGCGTAAGGAAATCATGTGGTGTACACAACAGTTTTTTTTTTTTAATATTGACTTGAAATTGAAAATTTAATCGAAATTTCTTCATACATAAAACTGATCTCAAAGTAAAATCTAGCTTTTCAGTTTTCAGTTCTTTGATGTTGTATACAGAAAGAGAAGAATCTAAAAGACTATGATTAGATATTACTAGATGCATCATATGTAATACATTTTTTGCATAAATTAAATGCCAACTGATAACCAAAAATAGTGATGAAATAAGTTCTTAGAATTATTTACCGTCTGTCTCCATGCATCTAATTCCTAAACTAATTCGGTTTTCAAATAGTCCGAGATGTTAACAGGATTACAGAATCAATTAACCGGACTGTGCTAATTATTACTATATTTTGAATAGCAGAATGAAACTCGTAAAGTTTCAGGAAAACCATTATTAAATATCTGCTATATATCTTTCTAAAATCTTTATGACGCTTATGAAATAGAACTGAACTTTATGTACGAATATTTCACTCAAACATTTTAGAATAACCAAGACAATTAAAAGATCACATTTGAATCAAGAATGTATAAAACACTGCACCATTTGAGGAAGTGGTATTTTGATGACATTAGATGTTAAACTTCTTGCAACATTTTTTTAATATTCTGAGTTCGAAAACTGTTTTGCTGAGCCTCCCGTAAAACTTTCAGCTACATAATTATCTCGAAGTTTGCTTAAAGAAAAGATGTGATTTAGAATTCACACAGGTTTTAAAATCTATCCGTATGATTTGCATTTGCATTCTTTAAGAACATAATTTGCGATTTTATGTCAACTTATGTTACATTTAACAAATCTGCTTTAATTTTATTTATAATAGCTCCTCGGCCTTCTGAAATGTTCTCAAGGCTTCTTCTAAATCATTTTAAACTTCTTAGTAATTTAAAAATTGTACGTACAATCTTTCTTTTTTGCATTCTGTTCCCTTTCACTACCACTATGGCTAGGCAGGGGAGAAATGCTAGCGAAAGATCAGAAAATTTCATGTTTGTTTATTTCGTTAGAGTAAGACAGAAAGAAAGCTAACATATAACTGACACCTAATTCACTTAATTCCTCGCCAGCATCAACAAGGAAATGCATTAATTTTTAGAATAAACAAGAAATTTTTCATAGTCTAATCTTGTGCCTATGACTTTAATGAAATAATTTAAGTTTGAATGAGAAAGAATCGAGAGCATTTTAAATAAATCTCTACCTTCTAAGCGATTTTAAAAAATGTGTAATTTTTTTTAAATATAAATCTGAAATGCATTTATATTTGTCAGTTTTTTTTACTTCGTTGTATTTCATAAATGTAATCGTGAAAATGTTAATATGATTATTCAATACCAATGGTGTCTTAAATTAAAAATATGTCTGTCTTATACGTAAACATGAGTATTGCTACGAAATGGTACACAGATAGATGATTTTTAATACAATTATATGTGAAATTGTAATTTTTCTGTATAATGTAACACGAAAAAATATAATTCCACATATAATTGTACTAAAATCATCTATCTGCATACAAATTTGTAACAGTACAATATATATCACTTTATTCCACTATCCCCACAAGCTGCCAAGCTGATAAGATTTCTGAACATTGGTAGTTTGACCCGGGTTCATATTCCGGCAAATCGACTCGCGCATTGAGGGTTTTCGTGAAATTTTTTATGTGTGATATAAATACGAGCTAATTTGTCTTTGAAAGTCCTCGAAGAAGAATCTCATTTCTTAAGCAGATTGCCCTAGCTTACTTTGCTGTAATCTAATAAATACATTTCAATCATTTAACTATTTGTCAAAATCTCTGTTTAAATTTATCTTTACTTATTTTTATTGTTGCGAAATGTCCAGCTGCTTTGAGATAGCTTCCTTGCAAAGCCAGAAAGTTCCAGGGTAAGGCAGGATTACCAGAGTTGGTGTGAAATCGCCCATTTAGAGATATTTGGCGACAAAATTGGCGATATGCCATAGATGGAGCGAGAAAATTCTAGAACGCATTCTTTGCGGTTTTCTCGGGAATATTCTCGAAGGTGGGTTAAAGCTGTATATACCCTGCCTATACGCAGAGTAGTATATAGTAGCACTGTCTTGAGTTCAAAGATTAGCTTGAGAGCGATCGACCGAGTCGGGAGCTGTACCTTCGTGCTCTGCCGTGAAACTGTCCTCCCCATTATAGCCTGAAGGCTGTGTTGTTGGTTGTTTCAGCGTGTTTGTCGTAGTTTTTCGAAGACTGCAAACGTGTTTTGGAACTGTCCTGTATAATACTGGCGAATAAATTGTGTTTTGGTTCTTCATCAAGTGTTGTCATCAATTACTCCAAATCCACGAACCCGTAGAACGCAACAATATGTTATAACTGAAGTAGTATTAATTGAATATGAAAATGTATATGAGATAGAAAATGTATATAAAATATTTCACTTCGTTCAACTATTTCTCAAAATCTCTATTTTTCTTTATAAGCCTCTTTAAATACTGATGTAAAATTAGAAGGAAACAAAACAGGATTCTAAAACCTGAAATTATTTTTGAACATATGTATAAATTTTTTTGAATCCATTAGAATGATAAATAAAATGATAAATGAAAAATATGCCCTCTCTAGGGTCCAAAATACGGATCTTCAAGTTGCTAGCTGGATGCGTTAACATCTTGTAGGATAAGAGAACAACTGGGGGACATAGGATAACTCCTTACAAATTTTATTTTTTTATTTATTTTTTTTTTTTGATTAAGTATTTTATCTTTAATTGACATGGTAAGAATATTATTGAAGTTCCTGAGTTTCGTTGTGATCACAGGACTATTATTTTCTGTTTTCTTTCGTTTCAGTTCAGCGTATTATCAGCCGTTTGGTGAATAAATATTCGTTTTTCTGGTTTTGGTGTGGTTGATTATTCCAAAGCACTCTAGGACTATCTGCCTAAGCGGAGATGTGGCTTCATGAAGGAATTTCTGCGGAAATATGGCTCGTATCTACATTGTGTATGTGGGAAAATCGCGAAAATGCCCATGCAACCAGCTCGTTCGCTGGGATTTGAACAGGAATCGAAATATCAATGTTCAGTTATTTTACCGCTGTGGCGCTGGTGAGCTTTTTCTTTTAGGATTTGGTTCAGAATTGATTTTTCGGTAGGAAAAGCTCTAGTTCTCCCTCTGTACTACCACTGTTGTACTACTGGCCTAAAGTTGCAAATCATGCCTTTGATCGATGTTAATGGGATCGCTACATTCCACACTTATACGAATGTAATTTCAGTTTATTCCACTACTGTTTTCTACTTCAATGAAGCTTAATTCACATCAAGTAAACATCAAACTGATTCTATAATTTCGAGATATTTCAGCACAAAATTCCCTTTATTATCTTCCAATAACCTTGGGATAATGACATTAATTGTTTACTTCTGGAATGCTAAAATTCAGCAGTATTCATGTTATGATTTGTAAGATTCTGTGCTGTGTACTTTTAGGTTACAGTTGAAAAATCTTAAGAACTGATCAGCAAATAATTGCTTGAGTTCGTGAGATATCGAAAAACACGTAAGAAGGGTGAAATTACCCTTTATTATTCCAATAAAGTTTAACAGAACTCTGTCTTGGAGTTTTACAATAAAGCCGCCACTCGGGATCGAACTTAGGAAACTAAGAACTAAACTAATCTTAACTAAAAAGATATAGCCGAAGCTATCAAGATTCTAACAGAGTTGGCCTCTTAATTCTAAATAACGGCGAAGCAATGAAGGGCCTAAAGTACGGCCGAGCGTGATAATAGCTTAAGAGACAATAGCCTAAGAAGGCGATCGCGCGCTAGTCAGAATCACTGGTTCTCTCTCTCGATGTTAGTAGAACTTCACTGTTAAATACTTCTCCTCATTCACATTCAAATACGATTCTAAAACTACGTTCTGGCCGGAAGTTTTAAGTTGAAATTCAGGAAGACAGGAAAGGAACTTTAAACTCATAATAACTGTTAACTGTTAGATAAATTAACATAATCCTAACTGTTATATAAAACAGTTAACTGTTATATAAATTAACATAATCCTTACAGATTTATTAATAATTTACGTAACAAATCATAAATATCGAACTCTCCTGCAAGTATTGGTAATTTCTCTTCATACTGAAGTTGATCTAGGCTGGCAGCAAGATGCTGGTCTGTTTAAATCTATCGAAGACAGCAAAAACTATCTACCAGCAGCAATTGTTTAGTTGCAGAATTCCATTATTTTGAAAAATTCTTATTGAAGTTCAAAGAAAAAAAGTTAAAACCAATAGCTCTTCAAAAGAAGGAAATCTCTAAAAAAAGCTAAAGAGTACAAAGGACTTCTTTATAATATTTTAAATTATACCTTTTGGTACATCATTAAAAAAATAAAATGAAGGTAAATATATCAAAATGACTATCGCCTGAAAATCTCTCAGTTTCTTGTACATCTATATAATTTGTTGGCATATTTTGGAAATAAAATTAAAGATTTTTTTCCCGCAAGATTTGCAAATTTCTCAGAATCGATACTTTTTTAGTCATCATGATTAAAAATATTGTCCCGCAGTACAGTTTGCAGTTCTTACAACGGTCTATGATAAGAGATGTCTCCCAAAACTGATAACAACTAGTTGGCAGTTTGCTAGTTCACCTGTATAATTACTGCTGTTAACACGAAGAGAGGAAAGATGTTTTTAGATTTAAAAAAATTCCAGATTATATGTTTACTAGCATATTAAATTAAAAAATTTTGCAAATATATTTAAGATAATAATTTAGAAAAAAAAAGGTCATCTCAGTGCTCGTGGTTTTATTATAAGATTAGAAAAATATTCATACTAATGAAACTTAAGTAAGGTAACCTTACAGTATTCAACGAATGCAGTGTTGAAGAGTAAAACGAATTCAAAATGTACACAGAAGTTTTCTAACAAAGATTTCATTACATATCGCTGTATAATTAAAAAATATCCTAAATATACATTTAAACAGTGCCAGTCTCTTTGTTACTTAGCTTTTGTAATTGAAGCAGCTCAAATTATCGTAATATATCCTGAATGCAACGCTATGCTGGTTTAATTTCTTACCTCTATCAATGTAAGCAGCAGCTGGAAGGACTAGAAAATACAATAAAGCAATGAACATTGCAAATACCTATCCTAAACACAATTATAAAACAATGCTGAGAATTCAGACTGAATATTATACTACCTAGAAAAATTCTGATGTTACTGTTATGGTTGGGCTTAATTATAAGGAAACAGCAACGAGAGAATGAAACAGGAAGATGTCAGCTTTCGTTGCTTAATGTTGAAACAAACATCAGGGGGCCATATGAGCCTTTCCTTTCTCTCTCTTGCCTAACAATGTTTTCCCAACTTTTTTGTGTGTCATCAATTTTTTTTTTTTCGACGTGAAAATGCTCATTTATTTCGGATTCATTCGAAGTTAAGATGTCATTTTTTGGTATCCTTATCAGTTCTCTAACATGACTGGTAAAAATGAAGTTAGTTATATTTCATTTCTAATGCACTTTTGTGTTTCGAATTCAAGAGAAATTAAGGAAGGAAATATCTTTGACTGAACAAAACATTGTTCGCTTAAAATAAACGTGAAACTTAGAAACCGATCAGTTATTAAATTTCCGATTTATAAGGTATTTTCTCTCTCCTTCCCGCATGCCTTCGTGGTGTAACTCGACTCGTATTCCTGAGGTCTGGAGTTCGAATCCCAGCGAAAGCAAAGCTGATCGCTTGCTAACATTGAAAAAATTCTAAATGATTCTACAAGTGGTGCCCGAACTTAAAGGTGGTGGACAATAATTTGTCGCCACCAGGATTTGGCGACTGGTTCTCCTAATCCACAATCGCCCTTCCAAAAGGCGCTATATATATAAGGTATTTACTCCTTCCTTTCCACATGCCTTCGTAATATTGGAAGCACACTCGATGCGTAGTCAGGAGGTCCTGAGTCCTAATTCGAAGAAGGCATTGCAGAGTTTTCAGGATGCCTGAATCGATATAAACCTAATGACTCTTCAACTTATTTCTACTCATTTCCCATGTTCCTATTTTTAACTATGGCATTCGTATAAAGTCAAATTTCATTTGAATATTATTCATGGGATTGATTAAAGGGTGATACTATAAAATTGGGCTAAAATATTATTTATACTCTGTTTAAAATGTCTTCGTTGAATTCAAAGTTTAATCAAAAAATAAATCCTTTTTAGAATGCAATAATTTTTGTGGATTTATTTATATATCATAATTCTTTCGCTTTAAAATTATTAGTACTTATTTATTTATTTACTGACGTTAGTTATTAGAAGACTGCGTTTTATTCCTCGGAAATTCCCATTTCTCTTATACGGAAATTCTCGTTTATCTTATTAGTTGTTGTCAACATTGTTACGGAACATCTTCAGCTTAATTTTCATGGTGAATTGCTGATAGTCTTGCCTTTCAAATTATAAAAGTAAGTTGCCAGTACTATGGAAAATGATTTGGAAACAATTTAGATACATTGAAATATACATGGCCTCCAAAAGTTAAGGAACAGCATGTTTTTTGTGTCTAATTTGAGAATGAAACAATTCCAATTTTGTGTCTAACTTGAGAATTAAATAGTTCTTTAATGAATGCGACATAGAATGTTTCTAACGTTCAACACAAACATGAAACACAAAAAATTGCATTCTTGTTAGAGCAATCCAGTCTTCCAAAAGACAGTATATCACAGAAAAACACTATATCACAGTTTTTTAAGAAAAAATGGGGTGGTAACATTACAAAAATGGGTTCCAATAAGGAATGTGTCCATAAAGAAGCAGCCTGTCTCCCAAGGTAGTCCCAAAGATGCTCTATCGAATTCAGGTCTGGGGACTACGCTGGCCATTCCATCCACTCCATACTGTGACCCTCAAGATACTCTTCAGCAACCCGACGTTGGTCAGATCGCGCATTCTCGTCCATCAGAAGAAATTCAAGATCAATAGCGGCAGCATATGGGTGGACATATTGATCAAGGATCTCATCTTGATATCTCACACCTGTCAAAGTTCCTCCATAGAACACATGCAGGTCAGTGTGACCACCAAGAGAGATCCCAGTCCAAACCATTATTCCCGAACATTATTCCGAAACAGCTAAATAACTCCCGCAGGTGTTGTAACTCTAAGTCCGCCTGGAACATGTCTTCTAGACACATAGTCCCCGATTTCAAACTGATTCCATAGTCGGTAGGCCACAATACGAAAGACATTGAGACGTCTAGCAGCATCAGCTTGTGATATCCTCATTTCCATCCATCTGATCTCCAGCGACCTCAAAGAATCCGGCAAACGATTTCTCCTGGACAATGATAGACTTTCCTGGATATTGGCCACGAGACTGTAATTTACCAGTGAAACAAGTGAAGTGGTTGCTTTTTGCGGCGACCGCTACTCTGGAGTTTTCGCTGATCACCACTACTAGGTGATGCAGTAAATTTGGACCCTCTTTCGAGGAAGCCCCGAGATCACAACAAGGTAAAACTCCACTGGAAATGCGTTTCTTCAAAGAGATCGATAAGTTGTTAATTACTCCCTTCTCATCACACAACAGCACGCAGAACCTCAGGAGATAGTATATCCTCCACGCGGAGATAGATCCCCCTTACTCACTGTTCTTGTTGACAATTTTTTAAAAGCATTCTGAACTTAAAAAAGACAGACAAATCACATTTTCCCAGAGGGAATCTATCAGGGATATCATAATTAAATAAAATCATGCAAAAAACATCATACATAACAGGTAACATGGACATGAAATCCATATAATCATCCAACATAGCCGGCCATTTAAAAACGTTTTTGTATGATTTAATCTAAAAAAAGACAACACTTTCAACAAGCATTATTTTAGCTTAACACTAGAAACATACAATTCTTCTAACATATGTAATATTTAATGTCTCAAGATACCATTATACATAATAATAAAAAAATGAGATATATTTCGCAAAGGAATAAGCACATTTTCTCTTTTAGTCAGCTGTATTCTTAAGCAAAAAAAGGCGAAGAAGAGATTCAGTGTAAGTGCTAGGGACCATTCGCTGATATTAGTTGTCATTTCCTACACGCTAATCAAAATATACTAGTATTTTAAAGTTAACTAAATAAATTCAAATAGAATATTCGAACAAGAATACTTCACGATTTTGAGAAAAGCTAGGAACGCAATGAACCTAACTGATAATAACGGAAATGCAAGTAAAAGACTAATAAAAAGAAAGATTCGTGGAAGACAATGTGAGATTCGTGGAAGACATTGCAATGCAAAACTGCTTTATTCTACATATGAGCTGCATCTTTAATTTTAGTTTATTGTGTTTCAAGTAAAAGTTTAAAATAATTGCTATATATCTTGAGATTTTGCCTAGACTAGTTTATAATGCAGATTGATAGAATAATCCCAGACGTATAAGAGAAGTATACTATATACACGAAAAAAATTCCTTCTAAGGCCAACAGCAATAATAAAATAGAGAATAGAAGAAGAAAATGTCAGATTACCAACAACCATGTAAGCATACGTGTATGCAAAACATAAACTAGAGGTGAATATTTTTTCTCCAAATTTTCTGAATGAGACATAATGAGTTTCTCAAACTGCGTGTGAAAAAAATAATGAAATATTTTAAGTCTTATTCTTTTCTATAACACATTATTTATTCTAAAATCTTCCATTTCGATGACTGTATTGTACATTTAGGCAAAATTTGATAAATAGGAGTGATTTTGTTTTCTGAAGATTCAGGTTCAGAAATATTACAACTCAAAAGCAAAAAGATTTTGAAAGACAATGAAATATACTCTATTGCGTAAATGCTCGACTGGGTTCAGTCTACTCTATTTGGTTACACTTTTTTTTGCGTTGAGTATACTCTCAGTGGAGCATATTGAAACTCTATTGAGCATTTGATCCCAGCTTTTATGTAGAATTAACAATTTTACTAAGATTTTTGTAAGAGTTAGTATTAGGAGCTCACTTAGTTTTAAGGTGTTTGCTAACATATTACCTTTGTTAGAGCCATTCTTTACAAAATGTTCTAATATAATCAATTCTGGATAATTGCCGTCCAGATATTGCAGAATAGCTGTCCTTCACTATTTTCCCAGTTGCAAATTTACATGTCGAATATTATATCATTCCGAAAGCAATTGAAAAAATTTACACATCCATGTGAATAACCTCACTTTCCTCATTTTGAAAAAATTTCTTTTCATTCAAAATTTTTGCTTCATGTCCTATTTCGCATTTATTCCACTCGTCTTCTAATTATTGGCGGAAAATATTGCAGTTATGTCAAAGATTTGGAATACCGAAATTCGCATGAATGTTAAGCAATGATGACAAAATTTAGCATTTTGTCGTAAATTCACCTGTACTCTGAATAATAAAATTAAAAAAAACAAAAACAAAAACATCAGTTTCATTCTCGTGAACAAAATAAATACTTACTTTCCCAAACACTGAAGAAATCAAGATAAACGATCTATAAGTATATTTTTTAAATATTTGTAGAACTCATAAGCTGAAAATTAACAGAAAAAGTACAAAAAATTCACTGACATAAATATATAGCAGGGAAAAAAGTATTTTCGAAATGTCTAAACGACTATTGAAAACGCACTGTCAAAACATTTACGAAAACACAGCGACTTCACAAATACATTAAACATGAAAATATTTTTAAAATTTTGCTCAAAATTTTTGTTATGATACAAGAAAATAAAAATTAAAGTAATAATGTTGTTTATGTGAGTATCGTTTGCTTCATTTTATTGTTGCAAACAGAGTAAATTTCTTTTGTTTTTCTTCCTGTAGTTTCGAACTTTATGTGTGGCAACAAGATAATTGATTGATAGAATTGTGTTTGTGACAGCCATTAGAATGGCTCGCTTATATTGTATCAATTATCACGCATTGCTGACATTTTATTTATAATTAGTATAATGAAATAAAAGTGAAGGAATACAGTCCATTGTTTATTGATTATTGTTTGTGAAACATATTAATAAAGAACATTTATTGTTGTCCGTCGAGCCGGAGGTTTTAACAATGACGGGTCCTTGTCGACATTTGTGAAGCTCAAAGCCACCACTTTTAGCAGTTTTGCAATTGTCTAAATGCAATCTTCCAACTATTTTACCCAGTACTTCATCAAAAAAAACTCTTA